TGAGCGCTTGTTTGTGTGTGCGTGTGTGTGTGTGTGTGTGCGTGTGTGGCTGTGTTGTATGTTGTGTGTGCGTTTGTGTGTAAACGCGCTTGTGCAAGCGAGAAGGAGAAGGAGAGGGGGGATGTGAGGAGACGCGGGTGCGACGCAGCAGAGAAGAAACCATAACCCCACGAAACAGGTTGGGAACAGCATCGACCAGTTCGCGAAGCATCGGGATCAACTCCCTGAGACGAGGGGAAGCAAACCATGGGGGGAGGTCACCCACGAAGGATACCGAGTCACAGACATCTATGTCCTCAGTACGTAGGGCTCCATCTTTGTCGGTGATCTCAGGGGCCCATCTACAAGCCCGCATGTAAATATCAGCCTGAATATCGTCCTGGACGCTCACAAGAAGCATGTCGAAAACATCAGCGGTCATGACTGCGCCTGGGCGGCATCCCGTGCGTGGGATCACATCCCCATCGGCCACCCCGTATAGCCCAGAAGGCCTCCCTCTGCGCCTCCCGCAACAAGGCAACCACATGAGCACGCTCGACGCTTTGCTCGAATATGGGTCCCGAGTCCAGCTGAGCCCTAACTCCAACCGCCAAGAAGGAAAACAATGGAAGTTCCTGGAGAACGTCTTCGAACAACTCACCATGCATTGACTGACGAATCGTGGAATAGAAAACCGCAATGAGAACCAGGAATATAGAACCCGGAAATAAAAAGGCCACGAACCTCAGCAACGGCCCCAAATGCTTTAACAAAATGGTCAGCCGTGACGCACGTCCTTTCAGGCAACCGTCCACATTGTTGACCGAACCATGCGGCGAACAGGTGGTCTGAAGAAAGACTCCCCAGCGGCGGCGATGCATCTTACACACTGCGCTGGCTGGCAGCCGAAGCAATATTACCTTTCTTTTTGAATGAGGCCCCGAGTCGCCCACCTTTGGAAAAATTATACTCACTCGTGGCCAATGATCAGGGGGGCGTAAGACCCGGGTACAGGGGACTCGGAAATCCCCGACGAGGTCGTCAAAAAAATGACGAGGCCGGGCCTGCATTTTGACGAGGCCTCCCGCTGCAGACATCCCACGAAACTCCTCCTCGTCAAAATCCGAGGCGCGGTCGTCAAAAAACGATGGCAAACCCGGGTCTTACGCTCCCCCGATTGAACCCCATGCGTATCCAATTTATCGCCTTTCCAAAATTTCATAGAACGTAGTATTGGAGGTAATTAGCAACATCGAACTCTGTACTGAGCGCCGTACCATCATCATCGAACTCTGCACTGCGCGCTGTACCATCATCAACAGTGGTATATGGGAAGGCGGTCGGAATAGTTTGAATATTGCCCCCGATGTGAAAAAACTTGTCATGTGACCATATTGCCCGAGGGGCATTGCGCTCTCTCGCCACGACAGTTGTCTCACACTGTGCTTCCAGGTGATTGCATCGATCCTCCCCCAGAGCAGCAGCAAAAACATCCTCCGCATCGAGCAAGAAACGCCGGAGACCCAGGGTGAAAGCACACGTGCAGAGGCCCCCCGGCCCCAAAAAGCCTAGCGACGAAGCACCGCTGAAAGCAAATCATTATGACGCCTCCACTCCCGAGCAAGTTCCGGCATGGTGATGCCAAATAGATCTCCACCGTTCCATCGCCCACAGCAGTGAGAAAGAACACTGTTCGCAACATCGTCAGCTTCGTCCAAGAACGGAGCAACCTTCCTGAGCACTGTGGTGGCCCCGCGCCACGCTACCTCAAAGGCCTTAGCAGCGGCAGCCATGACCCCCGACGGTCCCACAACATGATACACAGCGACAGGCATCTCACGGAGCTCCTGCTGAGCAGCCCTTCGCTTGACAAGATCCTCCTCCTCCTCTTCCTCTTCCTCCTGATCTTCCCCATCCGCCTCATCATGACAGCCTCTTCCTCCTGCAGCCCTTGCTCCCCCTCGTCCTGCCCGCCCCCGCCCTCATCCTGCAATATGTTACTCCCTCCCCAGGCCATGCTGATCCAACTCTTCCTGCTCTTGCCGTCGCTCGGACGTCCAATTCCCGCGCATTGTTCGGTTTCGTGCGTGTTTTTTTTGCTCGATGGTCCAGGATGGTCCTCGATGGTTCTCGCCGAGAAAAAATGGCACGCGTCCGAGCGATGCCAAGCTCCGCCTCCGCCGTCCGCAGCCCCTGCTCCTCCTTGCCATCACGTCCCGCTCCTGCTCTTCCCATTGCCCTTGCTGCTCCTGCCTTGCTCCTGACATCCTCCCGCTCCTGTCAATGGTCCTACTCCTCCTCCTCCTTATCCTCCTTATCCTCCTCCTCCTCCTCCTCCTCCTCCTCCTCCTCCTCCTCCTCCTCCTGTCAATGGTCCTCCTCCTCCTCCTCCTGCATCTGCTCCTCCTGTTGCGCTCGGCCCTCCTGCCCGCCACTCTGTCCTCACGTTTGTGCGATCTCGCTGCGAGCTCCTCCCTCGACCCTCCCCTGCCCGCCCTCCTCCCTCGTAGATTGCCTATCTTCCGGCATGCCTCCCACTCTCTCCCCCTCTGGATACTTCTCCCTCCCGACTCCCTCAGCCCTCTCCAGTTCCGCCTCCCTACTCTACTCTGTCTTCCCTTCACCCTCCACCCCGTGTCCCATCCCCTCCCTCTTCTTCCTCCTCATCTGTCCAGCGCCATCCCTTGGTGTTCTCCCTTCACCCTCACCCCCAACTCTTGTTTCTGCGGCCCCGTGATGCAAATGTGCATGTTGCTCGTTCTCTTTCCGCTCCGCCCACACCTGCGTAGCATTGGTATGCATGTTGTTTTAAATCAGGAACCCCCTCCTCCGCATCATCCACCTCCTCACCGACACCACCAACACCCCAATCCCCATCAACAGAAGCACCACCACCAACATCGTCCTCAGCATCAACATCATCGTCAACATCGTCACCAGCGCCATCATGTTCGATACCGCCGTCACTCTCCTCATCACCATCATCATCGTCGTCACCATCATCAACGATTTACCAATAGCATCATCAACGCCATCCGTTTCATCAAGATCGCCATCCTCACTTCCACCCACGTCACCATCGCTGTCACCATCAGCAACATCACCGTCGTCAATTCGCCCCTCGTGCACAATTACCATTTATCCTTCTTCCCCTGTTCTCCCCATGCGGACCGTGCATCATTCCTTTCGCTATCCTTCTCTTTCTCCCCTCTTTTTCCTCCACCGTGCGCCCTCGTCATTACTCACTTTCTCTGATACCCGACCCATCCTCCGCCTTGCCATCACATCATCACATTCGCCGTCATCACCATCACATTCACCCTCACCACAACAATCATCATCATCATCATAATCATCATCATCATTGTCAGCATCATCATCATCATCATCATCAGCATCATCATCATCATCATCATCATCATCATCATCATCATCATCATCATCATCATCATCATCATCATCATCATCATCATCATCATCATCATCATCATCATCATCATCATCATCATCGCCATCACCATCACCATCAGCATCACCATCATCATCATCATCAGCAGCAGCAGCATCATCAGCAGCAGCACCATCATGATCATTCAACTCCTCCCCTCACCCATCACTCTTCCCTCTCCCTCGCTCCCCTCCAGTTTCCCCGTACGTGTCGTTATTCTTCTCCTCCTCCTCCTCCTCCTCCTCCTCCTCCTCCTCCTCCTTCTCTTTACCCGAGTTGACCTCCCCTCGTCTGAATGTAACCTCCTTCCTACTCGTCCATGTGTCTCTCGGACAAGCCTGCTGGCTCCCTCCGCCAGCCCTCGGCTCAGGCCTCCGAGGGTTGTTGGCCTTGCCACACGTAGGAAGAGGACAGAGCGGAACCAGAGCCAGAGGGTGTGGCTTCACTATCACCTCCTGAGCGTGCTACCGCCGCCTGACCCTGAGGCGGAGCCGCCCCCTGGGCACGAGTTGAAGCACACTCTAAGGACCATATGGGGACGAACACATACCGTTACCGCTACTCCCTGGATCTCTCCCGGGTGCGCTCCGACCAGAACTCCGAGGATAATCCAGCCGTGGCCACGAGGGCCGTCCAAAACAATCAGCGGCATGGGTATATTCGCCAACGCATTTGGAAGTCGGACAGGGGTGCGTCATAAAGGGGTTTGATGTCAATCGTGGAAATGGCGATGTTACCGACGATACATAAAACCACCAGCCTCCGCATTTTCACCACACACACACACACACACACCGCACCCACCCATTCACGATTCAGCGATGGCACCACACACCGCACCCTTTTACACTAATGGGGAAACCAGAAAGTACCGACACCGCTACTCCCCATACCGCTCCCGGGGTGCTTTCTGGCCAGGATGTCGAGGCGAATCCAGCGGTGGCGACGAGGGCCTCCCGGGAAGCCCAGGGGAGAACGAGGCAAAGGTAGAGGTATGGGTACCTTTCCCGCCTCTGAACCATACCCCCCATCCTGCCTCCAGAGTTATGTTGCGAAAAGTATCGAAACAGTGTCGAACGAGCATCGCCTCCCAGGACTCGGCACGTGAAAACCTTCCAGCTTCGGTACTTTCTTGGTGCTCGAAAGTCTCTCTGGTGGTCAAGGCTAAAATATGTTGGAACATAATTCGGGGAACGGAGAATGACACAAATATAAAAACTCGGAGGTCCGCGCGGATTTCTCGGATCGGCGCTGGACCCCCCTCCCTGGCGCGCGGAGCGCGCCAGGGGCGGCGCCAGAGGCGCCGCCAGGGGGCCTCAGCGCGGATCCGAGAAATCCGCGCGGACCTCCGAGTTGTCATGCTTCTGTCAATCTTCGTTCCCCTATAACCATATGTTGAGCAGGGACCGACCGTCCCGGCATTTCTGTGGGCCTACCACGACATGTTCTTAGAACCCAAAAATGCTCCAGGAACGGAAACCGTTTTCTTGGAACAGAAGCACAGCGAGCCAAGACAAGACGGCCCCAGCCAGACACGTGTTCCAAGAACATCTCGTGGACACCTCAAAAGGTTCTCAGCACATTGCTTGGTTCGGGGAACAAAGAAAAGTGGCATAAACATCAGAACTCGGAGGTCCGCGCGGATTTCTCGGATCCGCGCTGGGGCCCCCCGGCGGCGCCTCCGGCGCCGCCCCTGGCGCGCTCCGCGCGCCAGGGAGGGGGGTCCAGCGCCGATCTGAGAAATCCGCGCGGACCTCCGAGTTTTTTTTATGTTTATGCCACTTTTGGTTCCCCCATTGGTAGGCCTGTAGGCGAGCCAGGACGCTTCGCCACTGCTCGAGTGGCTCCTCCGAGGCCGCGCGGGCCCGACCGCCCCGGCACCTCTGGCGGGGCCTCCGCCCGCCGGCCCCCGGGCGCAAAGGGCGCGGGGGGCAGGCGCGGAGGATGGCGGGCCTGTTTTCCACCACCACCACCACCAGTTGGAGGAGGACGAGGAGGAGGAGGAGGACGAGGAGGAGGAGGAGGAGGACGAGGAGGAGGACGAGGAGGAGGAGGAGGACGAGGAGGAGGAGGAGGACGAGGAGGAGGAGGAGGACCCCTACCCCTCCAACTTCTGGTGGAGGTAGTGGAAAACGGGCCCATCGGAGGAGGCGCGCGCCAGGTGCGAAAAAAGCGCCTTCGGCCCCGACGTGCCGGGGGTGCACAGAGGTGCCCCTGGCCCAAGATGCCCCTGCCCAGACCCCCTCGCGCTGTGAAACAAACACGAAGGATGGTTTGTCGCTACTTTCGGTCTCCAGGGGCCCTTACCAGGCCCCAGGACCGTTAAAAGACAACTCAGGATGAAAAACGAGTCCCGGGGGAGGGGTCCAGACTTCTGGGGTCGACGTTTCCTTTTCAAACAAATCACGACGTCGGGGCTCTGGGCAGCTTCTCGCTGCAGGTTGAGGCCCCCGGGGCCGCACAGATTGGCCTCGTGATGGGGGGTGCTCTGGAGGCCGACGGGGCCTTCCTTGGACGACCTGGGGGCACCTTGGGCCAGAGGCACCTCCGGAGACACCCGGTCTTCCCCTGGGCAGGAGGCAGGGAGGGAGGAGGAGGCCAAAAGGGCAGGGTCATGCAGTATCGAATCGGGAGATCGGATCGGATCGGAACGTACGTCGGATCGGGCCGCACCAGAACGGAGTCAGAATCCAATCGGACCCGCTGGGCCAGGATATACAACAGCGCCATGCCAGCATCAGGCCGCGTCTGATTGCCAAAACATCGGAACATGAAGAAATCCTAGTGGTACCAATACCGCTACTCCCCGGACCTCTCCCAGGGTGCGTTCTGACCAAGCTTTCGAGGCGAATCCAGCCGTGGGGACGGGGGCCTCCCAGGGGGCCCAAGACGGGGAGCACGAAGGGAAGCTAGCGGCACGGGTAATCACCTCCTGCTCTTCTGAGGATCAAGCATGATCGGATCAAGCAGCACCCAAAAGTGAGACGGACCGATCGGAACGGAGTAAGCCCTGGAGGGATAGAGGCCTCCTAGAATGGGTCCGCATACATGGGGTCGGAGGTTCGCGCTGCATCGACGATGCATCGGCAGTGCAGTGGCGATTCGGGTCGGGCGAAAGGGGAGAATTGCAAAGGGGGAGGTTGAAATCAGCTCACGTAGCTGATTCCTCGGCGCCTCCCGGCGCCAGAGGCGGCTGTGTATCGAGGAATGGGCCCCTCGGTGAGGCCGAAACCAGCTGCACGCGGCAAATTTCGCAACCCCCCCTTTCCCAATCCCCCCCTTTCGCCCGGCCCGAGCGATGCCTCGGCGATGCATCGGCGGTACCTCGCCGACGCCAGCGCCGACGAAAAATCGGGGCCCGCGTCGAGCCGCGTCTCCGATGTGCAGCGGCGAGGCGGCGCGAGCCTCCGACCCCGTCTGCTCGGACCCCGCCTGGGAGGCCCAGAGTTAAGTCGGGCCTGTCCCCCTACAGGGGGATTTTCGATGATTTTTTTTCGAACACCAAAAATACACCAAAAAGATAAAAAAATACTCAAAAAATAGTCCCCAGACTATGTTTTGACTACTTTTGGGGTAGTTGGGGGTATTTTGAATTTTTCGTCGGAAATCCCGAATGTAGGGGGACACGCCCGACCTAAGCCTAGAATGAGGTCGGGCATGTCCTCCCACAGGCGCAGTTTCGAGGACACATAAAGCATGGTCCAAACATGCGCCATACTGGGAAAAAGCACGCTCAACAACAAGTCGCCCCCGCATTATCTTTGGAGTTTGCGTTGCGTATTCCTCCTGTATCGGGGAGACGTAAGACCTGGGTACAGGGGACTCGGAAATCCCCGACGAGGTCGTCAAAAAAATGACGAGGCCGAGCCTGCATTTTGACGAGGCCTCCCGCTGCAGACATCCCACGAAACTCCTCCTCGTCAAAATCCGAGGCGCGGTCGTCAAAAAACGATGGCGAACCCGAGTCCTGGCAAACCCGGGTCTTACGCTCCCCCGACTATAGAGGGGAGGGGGAGGAGGAGGAGGGGAGAACCGCTGGCGCGTGGAGGCCGCGCTCCCGCGGCAGGCCTGCGCCGGGGCGCCACGGGCCGCGTGGAGCTGCCGCCGGCCTGCAGCCCCCCGCGCTGCGGCGCGGGTGCCTCCCGCCTCTCCCGGGCGCCCCCCCCCCCCCGGTCTCTCCGGGTGCCGCCTCCTGGGCTGGGGGCCGACCGTCCCGGCAGTCCTTCGAGTGGGGGGGTCGACGACCGCCCCCGCTCACCCCAGGCCCGAGGTCCTCCTCGAGCGCCACGATTAAGTCGGGCCTGTCCCCCTACAGGAGGATTCTCGACGAAAAGTCTAAAAAAATACCAGAAAAGAATCAAAAATACTCATAATATAATCGGGGGACTATTTTTTGAATCTCTTTTTGCCTTTTGGGGATATTTTTGGGGCATTTGAAAAAATAGTCGAAAATCCCCCCCTGTAGGGGGACACGCCCGACAGAACGTAGACGAAGCACCGGATCTGCGGAGCCGCGCAGGTATGCTGCGCAGGTTCGACGGGAGAGCACCCGGACCTTCCAAGCGTGCCAGAGAAATAGCCCTCCGGACCTATATAGACCTCTCTGGACGGCCTGAACCCTCGACAGCCGGTTGTTATTTCTTAGCCCTCCTGGACCAGGACAATTGTGGGGTACATCGATGATGTAGTCGCTCCCCTACTCGAGTTCTATCGGCCTGCCACGGCACATCCTCAGAGCCAAAAGCGTGCCACGAGGTTCTCCTCGAGCGCCTCGGGGAATCATCCCGGCGAAGGACCCAACCAGATGTCATGGTGAAAGACGCGCCACGCCCGCCCAGGACGGCAGCGACCACGAGCTTACGGCGAGCGTGCAGGGGCCGGCCGCCCAAGCTTCGTTGGGCGGCGGAAATCACTCCCCATGGAAGCGGGACCCGTCGCTAATCCACGCCCCCCTGGCCCATGTTTGCGATCGCCCGAGAAGGGGGATGGATGGATGGATGGATGGAGCGCTGGGGGGGCGATTCGCCTCAGTATTGTGGGTCGTGCCCGCGCGCGCCGGGCCCTCAGAGGCCGCGTCGGCCCGTCGCTCACCACCCCCATGGAGGCCCCGCGGCTGGCTCCCTCTGGGGCTCCCGCCCGCTCGTGTGCCGTCGGCCTTCCCGATCAGGCCCTCTCTGGGCCCTCCGTGCTCTTGAGGTCGGACCTGGCCCCAAGAGCATGCAGGTTTGGGTGAGCCCTGAGTCTGGGTTGTCTGGGTCGCGCCCCGCGCGCCGCCCCCCCCCCCGCCCCCCCCACCCCCCCCTCCTCCACGCGCCAAGCACGCGCCCAAAGCCTCCTCGGGCCCTCGTGGCCCGCGTGTCGGGGACAGCTTTCGAGGCAGCCAGGAGGGCATCGGGCGATCGCGGAGGCTGGCCGGGGGGCACCTGGGAGGCCAGCCTACGCCACCCTGTAGTCCCGGGCTCGTGCGCCATCTCGAGGCCAGCCGTGGGCGTGCCCGAGCCCGTCTGGGAGGCAGCGTGCAGTAACCAGGAGGGCATCATGCCGTACAGAAGAAACCGTCTAGGCGGACATCAGGCCAGGTGGGAGCCGGCCCAGGGGCCCTCGAGCCCGCGTCGCGCGTCCATGGGCCACACCGGAAAAACGACAGCAGACAACGGGGCGGGCTGTGGTGCTGGATGGGCTAGGGGGGATACTCGAAAGGTCGCGCCCCATCTATGTTTCCGAGGGGTGGTGCTGGATCGTGTCGTGTGAATATTCGGTGTGCTGAGTCTTGGATATGAATGGTTGGGCATGTGAGTGGTATGTTATGTTCGTGTGTTTACATTGCGTTTCCAGTGTCAGTGTATTTCTTATATAGACAATGTTTCAACCAAGAGGTGGGGCCGCTTAACACATGGAGGTCACCTGCAGGGGTGGTGGCTCACGGCAAGCCGCGTCCAACGCGGTGGTCCCCAGACCTCCCCCTACCGCCCAGGAGGAGGATTGGCATGAGGAGCCTGTGGGAATCGGGTCATGGACCCTAGTGCCTTGCTCTGGGAATGCTCTTGTTTCAGCCCAACTTGTCCTTGGGAAGCCCTGGAGTCTAGGACCCTTTCCCTGAATCCCCTCACTCCATGGCGAGAAGACGGGGGAGAGGGAGAGGAGGAGGAGGAGGCGGAGGAGGAGGAGGAGGGGGAGGAGGAGGAGGAGGAGAAGAAGAAGAAGAAGGACGAGGAGGAGGAAGAGGAGGATGATGAGGAGGAAAAGGCTCTAGGGGCCCCGAAGCTGTTCGAAACCTCCAGGACCCCTTTCTCCCTCAGGACCCTCCTCCTGAATGACGATGAGGAGGAGCCATCCTTCCCTCCTTTGCTCCTGCTCCTCCTTTCCTCCTCCTCCTCCTTCCCCTCCTCCTCCTGCTCCTGCTCCCCCTCCTCTCCTCCTCCTCCTCCTCCTCCTCCCCGTCCCCCTCCTGCTCCTCCTCGCCCTCCTCCTCGCGCTCCTCCTCCGCCTAGTTTCCTCCTCTTCATTCTTGCCCTCATCCTCTCCTCCTCGCCTCCTCCCGCCCCTCTTCAAGAAGGCGGCTCTGCATTGGCTGCTGCTCGCGCGCCGCCGCGGGAACCAACGCCGCCAGGAAACGGCCGCGCGCGTGCACCGGGCTCAGAACACTCCGGTCCACGCCTGCGCGAGCCGCGTGGTCTCCTTGGCGGCGCGCACAAGGGGGGGGGCGGGGGCGAGGGGGGGAAGGCTTCTCAGAAGGAGCCTGGTGCCTCGTAGAAGCCTTACCCTCTCCCCCTACCCCCCCCCGCAGCGCGTGGCCGACGGAAGGAACACGGGTCCCGAGATCCTGGCGTCGCATTTTTTCCGCATCGGGCTCTGTCACGGACGATCCGGCTCGGACAATTGCGCCTTTGACGGGGGTCTATGGGGCTGCCGGCGGAATTGGCTGTTGCCGTGTTCTTGCAACGTCGGATCTCGGGGGGGGCTGGAGCGGATACCAGGAGGGCATTGGAGAAGGAACCGTTGCATAAACAATCCAGGGTCGGAGAGCTGGCGACACACTGATTGAGGCTCAGGGAGAGCTGGCGACACACTGATTGAGGCTCAGCCCTGGATGTCACCGCCTCCCTCATCTCGGGAGCGGCCAAGAGGGGGGTGTCCAAAAGGGGGGGGTGCAAATCATGACTGGCGGCATGTGCGCGGCCCAGCGGGGGGGCCTGGGACGTAATAAAATAAGATGAGGCGTCATGAAATCTGAAGAAACAAATCATGGCCCCCGCCATGATATCCACCCCCCCTAGTCATCACCCCCCTCTTTTCTGCCCCCGATCATCAAAGGAGGACTCCTCCGTGGCCTGCAGCCTCCCGGGCACATGCCCTAGCGCCCCAGCCGTGACTACTGGTCGTGAGCGGAAGAGCGACCACCTCTGCGGACCCCCGGTCGAGCCTGACGGAGACCAGGTGGGAGAGGCCGTAGCCTCAGCGACCTATCGGGGGCGGCGGTAGGGGCGAATGGCCGAGGGGCGGGCGTTACACGTCTTCGCCCGGGAGCCTCACCGAAGGCATGCACCGTCGGCGCCCCGGGATACACGTATTGCTCCCCCCTGGGCTATTCACCCCTGTCGTCGCCTCCGAACCTACGCCACAAAGACCTATACATAGACACACTCCGGCGGATTTTGCATGTGCCTTCAGGAAGGGCGTCGGTGTATAGAATCGCTGGCTCCAAATGGTGATTTATACACCGCCACCCTCCCCTGAGGCTCAGAATTATCCTTTGGAGGGTGTCTGTGTATCTTTTTTGGGGGCGGATGGTCTCGTACGTATGGGAGACAACAATCAAGCATCGGAACTACGACAATGATGATACATTGCGACGCTTAGGAGACGGAAGAGGAGGAACTACGAGGATGAAGTAGGGAAAAGGGGAGAGAGCTATGCAAGATAGGGGGAAAGGACAATTGACAAATAGCGGAGCGCGAGGGCTGCCGAGGGGCAGTCGAGAGAGGCAACGGCACAGAGCAAGGGATGGGAGGGAAGGTGCCAGCAGACTACGCTGCGGTGTGGGACAGGCAACAGGCAACACCTCACAAGAGATCCCACCTGCCCTCTGGTCGTGTGTGGTTTAGGGAGCTTGCTCTGCTAACCCCTTTCTTCACCTTCGGGGAAGGGGGTCCTCCTCCCTCTGCCCCCTCCGGCTGGATCTGGAGGGGGCTCCCCGCGAGGTGTCAGAGGGTTAGCTTTTGCCGAAGATGGACAAAGATGGCTCCACACAGCCCAAGATGGCCTCGACAACCGCTCAAGATGCTACACGATGGCTCAAGGCAGCTTCTATCATCCCTCCAAGATCCTGCAGGACCGACTCACGACGGCTCCAGGTGCCCTCCGAGCTTCCCAAACCAGCCCCCAGTAGGCCGCATCCCTACAGCATTCACCAGTTCTTCACTGCTGTTCGCCTGCTCGCCTTGTTGCCTCCGATGGGCTCTTCGGGCCCCCGGCTCCAAGATGGCCCGAGAAGGCGGTCACAAGAGATGCCCACCGGGGCCCAATGTGGCCCCGCGAGCGCCCGGGGGGAATGCAAATACACGCCATCCCCTCTTACGTGTTGCAATCGACGGCCTCCACAAATGGCCCCAAGAGGGGCCCCATGGCGTCCAAAGTGGCCCGGGCAGAGCCCCCAGAGGGCCCCAAAAACGGCCCCACCAAGGAGTTCCCCAGGGCGTCACTGAATGCTGCTACACAGCTCTGTTCAGGTCGACTTGCCTGGTATTGTTTTCGGATGGGCTGGTGGGGGTATGCGAAACGTCAACAGTTTGATTATTTACTGGTGAGGTTGCTGTTGACGGCTCGTCGACCTATGCAATGTCTGCTATGCGCCCATTAGCTCTCGCTGAAAGCATCTTGGCTGAGGTACGTACAGCGGGGCAGCAAGTTGAAACGTGAACCTCGAGGGCCAGAGCCGAAACTTTCGGGGTCTGCCAAGAGGGGGGCGTCCAAGAGGGGGGGCGCAAATCACGGCCAGCGGCACGTGCGCGGCCCAGGGGAGGGGCCAGGGACGCGATGAAACAAGAAGAGGCGCCATGACATCTGAGGAAACAACTTGGCCCACGCCATGGTATCCCCCCCCCCTTGTCGCCACCCCCCTCTCGGCCGCCCCCGAAACCTTCCCAGGCGCCGAAGTGCGCCCCGCGCTGCGCACGCGCCGCCGATCTGCGCTGGCCGGGCGTACACACAGAGGAGAGCGGGCGCCAGTACACAGGAGAATCGAGCGAGGCTCGAGCACGTTTGGCACAGGACAACCACTGACCGAACACCTGAGGCAACATGCAAACATCGTCGCCTGGCGTGGTGAGGGCCATGGCGGCGCATGACAGGCCGGCGCGACCCAAACACATGTAGTATAATCAAGCACCGCGTGCTGCTTGCGGGATGCAAGCTCTGCGACTGGACGAGCGCGGCGATGGCAAATCGCGGGAAATCGCGGGAAATCGCGCCTCGGTGCCAATTACATGAGGTTCAAATCTCCGTCTGCTCACTGGCAACTCCCACCAGCTTCAGACTAATGCGATCAAGCGTCTCCTCCTCCTCCTCCTACCACTACTGCTACTACTACGGCTACGGCAACAACAACAACAACAACAACTACGACTACTACTACTACCGCTACTACTACTACTACTCTACTACTACTACTACTACTACTACTACTACTACTACTACTACTACTACTACTACTACTACTACTACTACTACTACTACTACTACTACTACTACTACTACTACTACTACTACTACTACTACTACTACTACTACTACTACTACTACTACTACTACTACTACTACTACTACTACTACTACTACTACTACTACTACTACTACTACTACTACTACTACTACTACTACTACTACTACTACTACTACTACTACTACTACTACTACTACTACTACTACGACTACTACTACTACTACTACTACTACGACTACTACGACTACTACGACTACGACTACTACTACTACTACTACTACTACTACTACTACTACTACTACTACTACTACTACTACTACTACTACTACTACTAGTACTAGTACTACTACTACTACTACTACTACTACTACTACTACTACTACTACTACTACGACTACTACTACTACTACTACTACTACTACTACTACTACTACTACTACTACTACTACTACTACTACTACTACTACTACTACTACTACTACCCATGCTCCTCTTTATTGCCTCTTGAACATTCGGCTGTTACGCGCGAAGATGACAGCATGCCCCCTTGGGCCACATACTATGTTAGTCAGATAGGACATCGGTGTTTGAGAATCGGCTCTCTGTCCGTGCTGGAAGGTGTCCGGTCCTTGCGGGGCGGATTGGGTTTTTGCCGACGCCGTGCATGAGGCGCTGTGCGATTTACATGTACGCCCCCTCCCATCCAGATCCCGGTGCAATCGCGCCAACGAGGCGACTCAATATGTCAGTATGTTTCGGTCCGCTGCCATGGCGCACTGCGTCGGTGCTTGCAGGTTGTGATTCATTCCCTCCCGACGCGGCGTATCCGATGTTTACCCAGTTTCCGTGTGCACCCTCTGTCGCAGATAGCAGGAGCCACCATTACCCTTAACCCCGCCCATCACTTACTGATGATGCGTTGTCAGTCCAGCCGCGCACAATGTTTCCATAGTTGCAGATCGTTGTTCGGTCCGTGCCGACGCGGCGCATCGAGTAGATCCCCTGTTTCCTTCCTCTCGCCACGAATGGGGGTCAAGATGACAGCCAGCATGCAGCAGGCGTCTCTCGATCTGGTCTTGCCTAAAAGAAAGGCTCGCTGTGCCTATATGGTCTCACAGTGGACTTGTTGAGCCCTTGCGGGTTTGTTTCGATGGCCTCCTCCGACGTGTCGCCTCGGGCGTTTGACCGCCCCCTTCTCCCCTGCAGAGGCCCAAGAGGAGAACGCGTCAAGATCCGCAAAACAATCCACAAGGGAAGAACAAGTTGTCGGCCTTTTGGTACTTATCAGTTCGGTCCATGATGTTTCCGTTTCCTCTCCATGCGCAGGCTCCCCGCGGGGTGTGGAAGAGGAAGGAAGGAGGGCAGGCAAACCCAAATGCGGTCTTCAAACTTGCATATAAGGAAGCGTTTTTCTCTAGCAACGGGAAACTCGACTGTCCGCGAAGACGTTCCGATCGCATGGGCAATGTGCACCAAATCGGGAGCACTGTCTGATTCCTACGACCACGCGTCTTCCGCATCCCCCTCCTCTCCCCTTCCTCGCAGTAAAGTTCGCAGACATGAAGTTTAGGCACAGACGTCTTCGACCGGCGCTGGCCACTCAGAGCTTCCTCGATATCGGAGGTGAGAAGATCGCCCGCTATGTCATCCAGACGCCCGAAGGACGAACTGGCCGCGTCGGTATCCATGGGCATCATGTACCTTCGACCTGTGTAGCAGCACCATTCACTTTATCTTCGGCCTGTCTCAACAAATCCGCACGTTGGCCAACCATGTCGGCAAAAGAAGCCGATCCCATCCGCATTGCCAGCCTGCACGTCGTGGTGGATAAATGTCTATAGAGCTACCCGCTGGCCACGGCAAGGAGGTCCACGCAGCAATCTGACCACGTGTAGAAGTCGCCAACCTGCTCAGCATTGTAGATCGACGGGAACCGCGACAATGCCCATGCCGCTGC